TCAGAAAAGTCCTCCAAAAAGTCCTCGAGAAAGTCCTCAAATTAGTCATCAAAATTTACTCAAAAAAGTCCTCAAATTGGTCCTCGAAAAAGTCCTCCCAAAAGTCCTCGAAAAAGTCCTCAAATTAACCTCAAAAAAGTCGCGATATTAGTCCTCAAAAAATACTCCAAAAAGTCCTCGAAAAAGTCCTCAAATTAGTCCTCAAAAAACTCCAACAAGTCCTCGAAAACGTCCTAGAAAAAGTCCTCATATTAGTCCTCAAAAAAAACTCCAAAAAGTCCTCAAATTAGTCCTCGAATTAGTCCTCAAAAATGTCCTCGAAAAAGTCCTAAGAAAAGTCCTCCAAAAAGTCCTCAAATTAGTCCTCGAAAAATACTCCAAAAAGTACTCAAAATGTCCTAAGAAAAGTCCTCAAAAAAAGCCTTGAAAAAGTCCTCGAAAAAGTCCTCGAATTAGTCCTCGAAAAATACTCCAAAAAGTACTCAAAAAACTCCACAGAAAAGTCCTCCAAAAAGTCCTCATATTAGTCCTCGAAAAATACTCCAAAAAGTACTCAAAAAAGTCTTCAAATTAGTCCTCGAAAAAGTCCTCGAATTAGTTCTCGAAAAATACTCCAAAAAGTACTCAAAAAAGTCCACAGAAAAGTCCTCCAAAAAGTCCTCAAATTAGTCCTCGAAAAATACTCCAAAAAGTACTCAAAAAAGTCCTCAGAAAAGTCCTCAAAAAAGTCCTTGAAAAAGTCCTCGAAAAAGTCCTCAGAAAACTGCTCAAAAAAGTCCTCATATTAGTCCTCGAAAAATACTCCAAAAAGTACTCAAAAAAGTCTTCAAATTAGTCCTCGAAAAAGTCCCCGAATTAGTTCTCGAAAAATACTCCAAAAAGTACTCAAAAAAGTCCACAGAAAAGTCCTCCAAAAAGTCCTCAAATTAGTCCTCGAAAAATACTCCAAAAAGTACTCAAAAAAGTCCTCAGAAAAGTCCTCAAAAAAGTCCTTGAAAAAGTCCTCGAAAAAGTCCTCAGAAAAGTGCTCAAAAAAGTCCTCCAAAAAGTCATGAAATTAGTTATCAAAACATACTCTAGAAAGTCCTCAAAAAATTCCTCAGAAATGTCCTCCAAAAAATCCTCAAATTAGTCCTCGAAAAATACCCCAAAAAGTCCTCAAAAAAGTCCTCGACAAAGTCCTAAGAAAAGTCCTCTGAAAAGTCCACAAATTGGTCCTCAAAAAAGGCCTCCAAAAAGTCCTCAAAAAAGTCCACTGAAAAATCCTCGAAAAAGTCCTCGAAAAAGTCCTCAAAAAAGTCCTCAAAAAAGACCTCCAAATAGTCCTCGAAAAAGTCCTCAGAAAATACTCCAAAAAGTCATCAGAAAAGCCTCAAATTAATCCTCGAAAAAGTCCTCCAAAAAGTTCTCAAAAAAGTCCACAGAAACGTCCTCCAAAGAGTCCTCGAAAAAGTAGACAAATTAGTCCTAAAAAAAGTCCTCAAAAAAGTCCTCAAAAAAGTCGTCAGAAAAGTCCTCCAAAAAGTCCTCAAATTAGTCCTCGAAAAATACTCCAAAAAGTACTCAAAAAAGTCCACAGAAAAGTCCTCGAAAAAGTCCTCGAAAAAGTCCTCAGAAAATACTCCAAAAAGTCCTCAACAAAGTCCTCAGAAAATACTCCAAAAAGTCCTCAACAAAGTCCACAGAAAGGTCCTCCAAAAAGTCCTCAAATTAGTCCTCGAAAAATACACCAAAAAGTACTCAAAAAAGTCCTCAGAAATGTCCTCAAAAAAGTCCTCAAATTAGTCCTCGAAAAATACCCCAAAAAGTCCTCAAAAAAGTCCTCGACAAAGTCCTATGAAAGGTCCTCAGAAAAGTCCTCAAAATGGTCCTCAAAAAGTCCTCAAAAAAGTCCTTGAAAAAGTCCTCGAAAAAGTTCTCAGAAAAGTCCTCAGAAAAGTCCTTAAATTGGTTCTAAAAAAAGTCCTCCAAAAAGTCCTCAAAAAAGTCCACAGAAAAGTCCTCCAAAAAGTCCTCCAAAAAGTCCTCAAAAAAGTCCTCGAAAAATACTCCAAAAAGTCCACAAAAAAGTCGTCAGAAAATTCCTCCAAAAAGTCCGCAAATTAGTCCTCGAAAAAGTCCTTGAAAAAGTCCTCAGAAAAGTGCTCAAAAAAGTCCTCCAAAAAGTCCTCGAAAAAGTCCTCAAATTAGTTCTCAAAAAAGTCCTCGAAAAAGTCCTCGAAAAAGTCCTCGAATTAGTCCTCAAAAAAGTCCTCGAAAAAGTCCTCCAAAAAGTCCTGCAAAAAATACCCCAAAGATTTTTTCAGACCTTGAGAAATAGTGCGGAGGCCTTTTGTGTCCTAGAGAGATAGTCCGGAAATCTTTTCGTTGTCGAGGAAGGCTCCGATGGTCTTAACAACCGTCTGAAAATTCCAAAAATACTCCGGAGGTATCCCCAGTTGTCGAGTGATACTCCGAATGTTTTTTCAGTTATCGAAAGGGCTCCAGAGGTATTCTTAGTTATCAAGAGAAACTCCGAAGGGTCTTTCAGTCGATTAGAAAGTCTGAACTTCACTATACTAACCAAACAGTAAAAAATTATTCTTTCAAGCATGATGTAAATCTTAAATCGCTTAATTAAAAATTATTCAGCTTTTATAACATCATTGATATAATTGTCGTTTAATTAATGACTGCTTAACAAACTATAATCGGTTGGAGTTTTAAGAACATTTTTGAGTTAATCTCTTTATTCGTTCGGTGGAAATATAAAATATTTTTCTCAGTCCCTGCCGAAAACCTAATCCACCTGCATTAGTTGTTCTTTTTCTTTTAAAGTCAAATAATAAAAAAAAGGACTTTTTTGAAGACTTTTTTGAGGACTGTTTTAAGGACTTTTCTGAGAACTTTTTGAAAGACTAATTTGTAGACTTTTCTGAGAACTTTATTGAGGACTTTTTGGAGAAATTTTTTGAGGACTTTTTCCATGACTTTATAGATGACTTTTTTTGAGGACTTTATTGAGAATTTTGTTTCGAGGACTTTTTTGAGGACTTTTTTGAGGACTAATTTGAGGACTATTTTGAGGACTTTTCTGACGACTATTTTGAGCACTTTTTTGAGGAGTAATTTGAGGACTTTTTTGAGGACTATTTTGAGGACTTTTTTGAGGTCTTTTTTGAGGACTTTTCTGACGACTATTTTGAGGGCTTTTTTGAGGACTTTTTTGAGGACTAATTTGAGGACTAATTTGAGGACTTATTCGAGGACTTTTCTGAGGACTTTTTTGAGGACTTTTTTGACAATTTGATTTCATTTGTTTATTTATAATTAATAAATACTAATAATTTTTTGTCATAATAATAAATTAGATATAATTTTGTATTTGTTCGCGGCATCTGCGCTCCATGTGTGTAGCACGAAAGTAGAGAGTAATAATTTATAACATTTTTTTGGTTGTTGTAAAAGTGAAAGTTTATTTGGAGATGCGGTCCTTTGTCGCTTAATGTTTTTTTTTTTTTTTGCGGATGGGGAAAACCCAGAATATGAACACGTGCGGCAATTCCAACGGTGCGCGCGCGATGCCAAAAAAAAAGGGGTATGATCGTCCAGGAATTGTCGCGCAGGTAAACATTTGGATGGAAATTCGGCACTATAACCCTGGCATCTCTAATTGGCCCCACGAATAGGCCCAATGCTGGAGAAAATTCTCTGATCCTTCTTCAGGAAGGAGGAAGCAGTCAGTAGTTCTCGAGAACTCAATCCTTGCACCTCGCATCTCTCTCTCTCTCGGCACCTCGTTGCACTCTCTTTCAGTTACCTAGTTGCTGTCTCAGTTAACTTGCTGCTTTCAGTTGTTTACGTCGTTGTGATAGTTTATCATAATAGCCTTCACTGGTAACGTGTGTGCTGAATGTGAGTGCGTGTTCCTGGTCTTACATCACGTTCTGTGTATGACAGTTGCGTGAGAGCACAGTGTCGTGCCTTTTATCCTATGACTTGTCGAACCCACGATCGCAGCAAGGGCTACCGGCACCGTTGGCCTAGCTGAGGATATGCGTGATATTCTCTGAGGCGTCTCCGACCCTGGGCAGCTCAAACAGTAGCAACTCGGCCCTATACTCTTAGGGGCAGTATAGTGCAGGCTGTACCCGTGACCAAGACGTTGGCACTGTGCTGCTCTAGGAGACGACCTTCCTTCTCGTACAAGGTGCAATTAGCGTCGTGTGGTAAACGAGTAGTTTTAACTTGAATGGCCATTCACAAGCAAAGCGAACCTACCTAATCTATTAATTGTAAATAAGTAGTATAACTCTTTGTACATTTGTCGATTGTATTTGCTCATATTTAGATGGCTTTTCCCTACTTATGACTGGGGTTTTTATGCCGGATAAATACGAGCCTAATTATACTTGATAAAAATATAATAAAATTAAATCCATATCCTTTAATTATTCAATATTCACGCACCATATCCGTATTAATTTTCAAAGAATTTGATATACATGAGACTTATAAATTCTTTCTTATAGGTGATTCGAATTTCTGTGTTGATGATATTTAACTTGGAATTTCTACTAAAGAATTGTCCAATTTGTTCAGTAATAATTGTTTTTATTTACACTACTCTTATCGCGAACAAAGCTGCTTGAGTATGCTGATCTGAAATAATACGACACGTTTATAATCTCAAATTTGTTATTATATTACTTTGAAAATTATAATAACTAACTTAGAGACAGTTTTCAAATTGTCGTCCTCCGTTTTTAATGCAGCACTGCAGCCGGCGTACAAAATTCCGTCTTACTGCAGCTAACATTTCAGGCGTTACGCTTTCAAACGCCATTGTTATTTCGTTTTCCAGATCTTCTAAATTTTCTATCTCTGTTCCGTATATAGAATCTTTAAAATAACCCCATAAAAAAAATCAAGTAGGTTTAAATCCGGTGATCGTGGAGGCCAATGGATTTCTCCACCTTGACCAATCCATCTCTTCGGAAACATATGGTTCAGCAGATTAATCACTCCAGCAGCTCGATGAGCGGGAGCTCCATCATGCTGATACCATATGTTTGCCGATCTTCATTAGGTATATGGCGCAACAATCTTGGAAGCTGATTTTGCAGGAAGTCTACGTAATTATCAGCGCCCAAATAATTGGGCATTTGTACTGGACCAATCTGAATGTGAATATAATAAAAAAATTGTATTTTCAATATACTTGAGATACAGAGACTCATTTAAAAAAAAATTGTATATACATCAAACGTAATAAGATTTAAGTTTAATTATTATTATTCATTATGGTATTTATTTATCAGGCTGATTTACAAGTGCTACACAAAAGCCCAGTAAACACTCCAACAATAATAACACAAATAAACTTGAACATATCATGCAGCAGCTGATGCAAAGAATGAACACTATGCTCAATCCTTTAACCGTATTAGTAAACAAACTATAAAAATGAGTAGTTTAAAACTCGATATCTGTAACGCAAGTGGTCTAATGCAAAGGAACTTGGAATTAAAATCATTCTTAAACTATGAAAATATAAACATCATGTTGATATCAGAAACACACTTTACAAGCAAGAACTATCTCAGTATACCAAACTACACCTTATATAAAACGAATCATCCACTCAATAAAGCATACGAAGGAACTGCAATAAGAATAAAAACAAAAATAATCCACTACGTTCACACACACACACACACACCAGCGAAATTTACCTTCAAGTAACCAATGTAATAATCGATGATAAACAAAGTACTATACGAAATATTACAATTAAACAAATACATTAGATCATTCACCGATAATAGTCACTCTAAACTCTACTGTGCACAAAACTGTAAACAACCTCACAATAACAGACTGGAAAAAATATACAAGTTTCCTAGAGGACCGTATAAATGTAATGTATCTCTCAAATCAATTACTGTCATAGAAAACAGTATACAAACATTAAACTCACTCCTAACTGTAGCTATTAACCAATGCTCCACTACTGTAATGAAGACAGAATATCAACAAATCATCTTTATAGTAGTAGTAGAACAAAAAATCAAAGAAAAACGACTACTGAGAAAAAGGTATTAGATTACAAGATTGAGTCAAGATAAAACGAATCTAGGATAGAGCAGTTAAAGAACTGAAGAAAGTATTGTTCGTACAGAAAAATGCAGAAATACAGAAGAAACACTTTGTCCAATCGAAGCAACGGATTACTCACTATGAAAAGCAACAAAAAGATTAAATAGACCAACCTCATTTCTTCCACCCATACGTAAAAGCTGTGAAAAATGGACCAGATCGGACGAGGAAAAAATGGCAACTTTTGCAAATCATCTAAGCGAAGTGTTCAAACCACATCAACGTATAATCACTGAACAAGAAAAAGAAATCTTACTAGAAGATCATAATGCACAGGATAACACTCCATCGAAACTAGTTAAACTAAAGGAAGTACTCAAAATCATTAATAACATAAATAATAAAAAAGCCCTCGGTTATGATATCGTTACAGGAAAAATGATTAAAAAGCTTCCCACGATAGCAATTCGATATATAACAATAATATTTAATGCATGCTTCCGTCATTGCTATTTACCTTCTCAATGGAAAGTAGCAGAGATTATCTTAATACCTAGACCTGGTAAAGAAAATGAACTTGTGACCTCATACAGATCAATTAGTCTACTGCCTGTACTCTGAAAAGTCTATGAAAAAAACATACCAGCAAGAATAAATCAAATCGTAATAGATAGAAAACTTATCCCGGACCACCAATTCGGATTCAGAAGTCATCATTCCACGATCGAACAAGTGAAAAGAATAGTATCAATAGCAAGGAAATCCATAGAAAACAAACTGTACTATACAGGCATATTTCATAACATAGGGGGATTTTTTCCCAAATGTTACAGTGATTTACTACAATCTTACCTGCAAGACAGAACATTTCAGGTAAAAATCAATAAAAAAGTATCAACATGGCAAATAATAAAAGCAGGTGTACAACAGGGCAGTGTTTTAGGATCAACGCTATACCTGCTATACACATCGGACCCATCGGACCTACCAAAGTCTCCAAATATTCTGACAGTAACATATGCAGACGATACAGCAATATTAACAACACGTCAAGAAACAGCAATAGCATGGGAAACAGTATAAAATTACGTTAATAACTATCTCCAAAACTGGCTAAATACGTGGAGAATAATAGTAAACGAGAGTAAATCAATTCACACCACATTTACTCTCCGTAAAAATATATGTCCACATATTTCGTTGAATGACAAATACATACGCAGAAAGACCATGTCAAATCCTTAGGTATACATCTGGATAGAAGGTTGACATGGAAAGAACATATATTCACAAAGAGGAAACAACTAGGATTGAAATGGAGGAAAATGTACTAGCTTATTGAGGAAAAATCGGAGCTAACAATTGAAAATAAACTTCTGCTATATAAAGCAGTATTCAAGTCAGTCTGGACCTACGCCATTCAACTATGGGGAGCCGCTTCAAACTCGAACATTAAAATCCTAGAAAGATTCCAATCAAAAGTCCTACACGGCATAACACACACGCCGTGGTTCGTTCCAAACGAAATTATTCCAAATGATGTACAGATCGCAATAGAGAAAGAAGAAATTCAAACTTTATTCGCAAAATACTACACAAAACTAGGAAACCATTCAAACAAACGTATTAGCAAACTTCTTTCGGAATCGATTACCAATACAGGACTTAAGAAACGTAAAATAAAGAAGACACAATATAACTCAAGATAAAAAGCAGTACCTTCGCATTCCAAAATCAAGATAGAATACTTAGTGGAGTACTCTGCTGATAACATGTAAAATTGTCTATATCGTAAAATAATTTACTGATTGTCCTTTTTATTTAAGGTTGACAGATTGTAAATAAATTTTGTAAATAAATAAAAAATATATATTTTTGTGTAGAAATATATTTGTATGTACTTACAACTTCATTTTTCACGATTCCACACCAGTAATTTAAGGAAAATCGATTCTGGTGTTTATTTACAATAGCTAATCTTGGATTTTCTACAGCATAATAATGGTTATTATGCATGTTGAACGTTCCCTCTCTCCCAAACGTCGATTCATCGGTAAATAAAATATTTTCTAAAAAATGTTCATCGTTTTCGATTCTACGTAATAACCTTTGGCAAAATTCAACCCGCACATGGTAATCTGCTTCGTTCAGTTGTTGAACTTTGCGAAAGTGATACGCATGGAGGAAGTTGTCCTTAATGATCCGTTGTACCTAAGTTAAAAATATAGAATAGTGATTAGATATAAATTATCGAATATAAATTAGATTAATCTAACGAAAAATAAAACATGTTTTGTGGATTTACATTTACTACTATTACTAATGTATTACAAATGAAACCATTTAACGATGATGCTGTAAATGTAATACACAAAGGCTCTACACAATAAAATTATTTGAGCAGCCGGTCACTTTCTCTTAATTGTTTTATTTCTAAGTTTCTCGTTGGACATTGGAAAAACTACTAAACAGAATAGCCAAAGAAAACTATCTTTTGAAAATATTGGGACAAAACAAAATAAATATGCAACCAACAGCATCTGAAAAATATCTACCAATAATAAATGGATTAAAAGAAAAAAAAACATAACAGCGTAAAGAATAGAAAGGATTTTAAGTGATATTGAGAAGTCTATGCATCCGTCGGTCATCATTGACGATTTGAAATCTGCCATACGGAACGTAGATATAAAGTCTTAAGCATTCGGAATATTCGGCATCTCATAACAACCATACCACTACCATTATTCACTGAGTAAATTGAAGATGAATACGTTTTCTCCCACACCTCTCTGGTTAATGTCAGAGGCTTTTCCGAGCATCGGCAAAAGTTTCACGAATACTTTATATCCGAATGAAGTAGGTGCCATTCCAATAAAAGTGTCACACCTCTGCCAAAAACGCCATCGAATTCGCGTAATTTCGTATTCTCGGCTGCGCGCTTTCCCTTCTATGTTGCAACAAGGGACAGAGGCTTTTCCGAACGTCGGCAAAAGTTTTGCAGCCTCTTACGACTATGATCATTCGAATGAAAAAGGTTTCTTTCTGGTAAAAGTGGCAAAACATTGCCAAAATCAACATCGAAGTCGCGTAACTACGTATTCTCGGCCGCGCGCTTTCCCTTCTATGTTGCAAGGGACAGAGGCTTTTTCGAGCACCAGTAAAAGTTTTACAGCCTCTTTCCACTATGATCTTTGAAACGAAAAAGATTTCATTGCAACAAAAGTGGCAAAACATTGCCAAAAATGCCATCGCAGTCGTGTACTCCGATATCGTCATAGAGTGAACTAGACTCTTAGGATTAGTTATTTTAGGGCTGTTATTAAGGATTATTATTGATTAATATGTAGTTTTATATCAGTACTAAGGTCACACGAGACGACTAAAATAGTTAAAAATTAATTTAAAAATAATGTTTTACGTGCAAATGAATGTTACGAACTTCACATTCATAATTTGTTCCGGACGTTCCAAATATCGAGCAAGGGATTATACAGACGAGAAAGAGTTTTCGAGTTGTACACGTGGTGTGCAGGACGGACCTTTGAAAATGAAAGCGTAGCACATTGGGAAATAGGGAAATTAACGCGCCCGAGCTGGTTAGGCACACGTGTAAGGGTTGTGTTCACTTTCGCCTGTTTTTTTTTTTAAAAGAGAAAGTGTAAGGATTGTATTAGCTTTCACCTGTTTTTTTTTAAAGAGAAAGCGCAAGGGTTGTGTTCGTTGTCGCCTGTTTCCTCAAAAGAGAAATTGCTTTAAAGCCACCGAAAAACAATTTAGGAAATTAATAACACTTGTAAAAGACGTCGAGAAAGGCATTAAGAATCAAAGAATGGACGAAATGGGTCCCGTGAGATGAGACATGCACGTTCACGAGAAGTGTGAATCATAGTCACCGCACACACTGCTCGACTTCGAACCTTCGGCCGAAATCCGAAGACGCGCCATAAAAAATTAACTGCTGCTCTCGAGTCTGGGTATTATCACGTGGCGCAACAAGTAGGAAAATGAATCCATGACTGAGTAATTGATAAGTTACTTTAATTATGATAGTTAGTTTAGCTTGCGGTTAGAGGATAAGTCTGTAATGAACTCAGGATCGAGCGGCTTACGACAATTTATTGTAATCGTTTGCTTGATAGGAATGGACGTACGAGTGCGATTGTCGATGTTGAGTGTGAAAGGACAAACGAGAACAAATGTCGCAAGGATGTACACCAGGGCGGCTTGTTGCGAACCTACGATCGAGCCAGCGGTACTGCTCTCGGAGCACAAACTTGACCCATGGACGTGCACGAGCGCGGGATGCGTTACGTGTCCGTGAAGCTAGAATTTTTAGATTCGCGGAGTTTGCTCCCCGAAGGCTGCAGACCCCATTTGGAGTTTTACTCTTGGTTGTATGGGTCACCTCATCTTACTTGATGAATTTTACGGATAGGGCAATGTTGAAATTGCTCCTAGGACCGGCAGGCTGGCGAGTGAGAGCGAGTAAGAGAGTCGGAGGGCGAGAGAGCGGGAACGCGATAAGCGTGCCAGCGTGCCAAAGCGCGCTTGCAAGGCCCAAAAGTAAACATGTGCACGCGGCGGGGTAGCGTTGACGGCGAGGCTGGCGAGAAAATTCGGCAACATGCGACGTGAAACTGAGATGCGAGTCACTTTACGTCCAGATTCTAACGAGGCGAGTTGTGCCTCTCTTTGGACTCGTGCTCGTTAATTCGATCCTAGTTGAGATCTTTAATTTGTAAAATAGCGGCTTTTTCCTCACACGATGAGGTTTTTTACGCCGACTATTTAGTTGTAATTTAATTGTAACTTAGTTTATTAAAACAAAAGAAATATTAAACTCAGTGTACTCCTTTATTCAATCTCTTCCGCACAATTGCTCACCCCTAACAAATTGGTGCCCCGGGTGAGGAACATCGTTTAAATTGTGCGAAGTCGAGATTGCTGCTATAGTGGTTTGTTGTGCGGTTTCTGGTGTTCGTGAAGTTCATCTGTGTCTCTACGATGGTGATGAGAAAATGACGCGCGCCGGCCAACAAGCAGGGGTCACCTGCGAAGCAAGTCCAGCGAGAGGTTGTCGCAGCTGTGCCAGCAGCTGCACCTGCGGCACCTGCAACTCCTGTAGCAGCTCTGCCAAGGGAAGTCACCCGCACGAGATCAGGGCGTGGTGGTGCGCAAAGGGCACCAAGGCCCACCCGCCGTCAACGGAAGCGAACAACCGAGCCACCTGTAGTGTCACCGACAGAATCGACTCCATCTGATGAACGGCAACGACCGCAGCTGAGTCCTTCGCTCGAGCCGGAGGTCAACGTCACTAGTACAGCGTCTTCAACAGCAGCATCAACGAGTTACGTGGTCACCAGCGAGGCGAATCGTTAATTTCACGATCAAGGTAGCGCAAGCGTTAGCGATTTTCAAGGCGTAAATTTACTCGAAAGAGCGGTATCATTGTTATCCGGTAGTTTAATCAGTACAGCCAATGTAATCTGCGAGAGCGCAGCAAATAATGTTCTGACGAGCGATCAATTAGATTATGACAAGCGATTACCGGAGTTTTCCGGAAAGCCTCTGCAATGGATTCATTTTCATAGGACGTACGCCGAGTCCGCGAGTAATTTTAGCGATCGTCGTAACATCGGGCGCTTAGAAAGAGCGTTGAAAGGACGAGCCTACGACCTCGTGAAGACACTTTTGACAACAACCGAGGATCCGAAAGATGTCATAACCGAGTTAGAAAAACACTTCGGGAATAGGTTTATGATAGCTCAAGATTTCGTTCATGACCTGTATGCGCTGCCGTGTCTGAAATCTGGCAAAGGCAAATTGGTTTCGTTCGCGACTCAGCTGAAATGCAGTATTGACGGGCTGAAGTTGCTGAAACTGAACGAATATTTGCATAGCATGGATTTGCTATTAAGCGTGGCTAGTAAGATCCCGGACGAATTGAAATCGACATACTATCGATAGTCGAAAATGCGAGCGACTTGCTGTTCGACGCATCGTCTTTGGAAAAGCTCGCCAAATTTATGAGCAGGGAGTCGGATATAGCAGTGCGTGCTGGGATATTCGACATCTAGATCGCGTCATCAAGGGGCAGCGACGGTTCAGCGAGGAGGCCGAGAGCTGCCGTGATATGCGCTGCAGCGGAGGGACAAGGGGACGATGAAGAAAGACCACTCGCGGGGAACAGATGTCTGCATTGTCGCCGCGGGAACCATGAATTGAGAAACTGCCGCGAGTTTAAAAACGAAAGTACTAGGCGCAGGTGGTTTTTGGTCAAGCAGTGGTGACTCTGCTTCAAGTGTCTGGGCGACAAGCACTCGCGACGGGACTGCGACGCGAAGGAAACTTGCGAAACTTGCCGTAAACACCATCACACTCTTTTGCATTCTTTCGGTAGCCACGACCGCCGGAATAATTCTGACCGCGGAGGCCGACGTGATAATGCTGATCGAAGGGAAGATCGCGACAAGAGGGGTCGCGACAATGAGAGAGACCGTGGCGATAAGAGAGACCGCGACGAGAGAAGGCGTCGCGACGAATCACGCACCTGAGATCGCAAGTCAACTTCTCGAAGATATTGACTAGCGGCACGCACGGGCCTTATACGCGCCGTACCGCTAAACATCGACGGGCCAAAAAGGAAAGCGACGACGTGCGCGTTGTTGGACTGTGGAGCAACGGCTACGCTAATCGACAGGGGATTCGCGGATCATGTTGATTTGACGGGGGAGCCCTTTAGGACAAGCATACGCGGCTTGTATGGTATGAGTGTGGTTCGTTGCGAGAGAGTTAGTTTTTTAGTCAGCGGGCCGTTTGGCCAAGAAAAGATCGCTCGTACGCTAATTGTACCAAAGCTAGATCTGTCTCTGCAAACGTTGTCGATAGAGCTCGTACAGGACGTTAAAGAGGAACACGATATCCCGATATACCCGTACAAAGACGCTAAGTTGAGCATCTTGATAGGACAGGACAATTGGCCATTGATTATGTGTGACGAATCGTGGCAGATTGGGGATAGCGTGCTCGTTGTTTCACACACGCGATTGGGCTTGTCGGTACACGGATACATCGAAAACAGGCAAAATTCGAACAGAGATTCGTAAATACTCGCGAAATGTTTTATCGCTACCGAGGAGGAGATGACGGAACAACAAAAGCTCGCGGAATTAGAAAAATTAGTTCATGACTATATAGAAATGGAAAATTTCGGAGTAGTTAAAACCGGATCGAGAGACAAAAACAATGAACGGGCTTTAGCGATTTTGGAGGCGACTTCGCGTAAATTTAGCGAGGGATGGCCGGACACCTTCCAGACGTTTTATGGATGTTTTCTCGATTCCACGATTTTTGAGTAATTCAAAGTTTGCGTATTTTGTTGCATAAGCGTTCTTTTTGTTTTTATATCTGTAATATTCTCGTAGTTTTAAATTCCTTGTTTTTTGTAATATTCATGGTCAAACGGTTCCTTGTATTTATGAAATTAAATAAATCTAGAGTGTTATAAAAATTGAATCATGATTCGATTATTTTCACTCATCTCATCTGAACATAATGTATGTTACTTACCGTGGAGTAGGTTAGATTCAGCATGCCTGCCACGTTTCTAATGCTCCTAGTCGGATCCTCTTCTAAACACTCTAATACATTTTCTTCATTTTCCACATTGCGTACAACACGTGGAGCACCGACTACTCCTTGTCCAGCACCTCGATGAGCAAGGGGAATGAGGTTGCCGTTCTCTCGACCACGATGTACCGCTCCCAAAATGACATTTGCATCCGGACGCCTTAAATCAGGCGGGTTCCTGCGGTCCAACGCAGCCGCGTACAAATGCGCGGCTTCGTTAGCATTGCGCCCTGCCTTGCCGTAAAAAATAATCATCTCCGTATACTCGGCACCCGTATACGGTGCACCACGACCGACAGGCCTTCCTCGGCCACCTGCACGACCTCCAGCTCGACCTCCACCTCTACCGCCACGACCCCCGCGATCACCCATAATAAATGCCGGAATGTAGTTTAGAAATTGCCACTTTTATTCGCACCGAACGCAACTTAAACAAAATTGGTTGCACATTATGATGAAACTTATTGTAAAGGATAGCGCCACCACATGTTTGTAAAAAAAAACTTTGACAATAAAAACGCATCAAATTTTTCAATAAACATGTTCTAATATTTAATTTTAAATACAAAAGTTTCCGTCAAATTCAAGATTTTAATTTATGAAATTTATGTTTTTTCTGTACTTTGAATTTTTAAAAATAAAAAATTGTTGAATAATTGATTCAAAATATTTTTTATAAACAACAGTGAATGATAAAGAAAAAATGTTTTATTCCGATAGAAATGGCAAAAAATTTCCAAAATCGACATCGAAGTCGCGTACTTTCATACTTGTCCGCGCGTATTTCCCCTTTCCTCTGTAGCTAATGTAAGGGGCTTTTCGGAGTGTCGACAAAAGTTTCACGGATAGTAATGTCACCGTCAGTAATACCGAATAGTAAGCGAGATACAATTAATCTCACTCAATAAGCAATAATTAAAAATAAAAAGTCTCAGTATTAAATTTTTACTTAAATGTTCTTTATTTGTATTTCTAGTAATAACTTAAAACGGTGGTGGTGCTTGCCCTTAAATCCACCCGTAGGATCCACCGATAATAGACGGGTATGTTCCGACTAGGTCAGTATAATTGTCAATCGACTAAGCGTCGATTGACAATTATACAATGTGTGACCTTCTCGCAGAGGTGCAATCAGGAGTTTCCGCCGAAACTCCGCGCCGCAATATAATTGATACCGCGTGAGAGAGAAAGAATGAGTCGTACCGTACTTGCGAGCTTGCGAGCTTCGTCGACGGGAGGCTATCCTCCGGATCACCCTCGCACGTGGATCGGACGATTTTACTTCGTGCCGTCGGCTGGTCAACGAAGGGCTCCGTTGCTACGCGGCTATAGGCCTGCTGGTCGAATCACGGAGGTGGTGAGACGTCGTCGCCTCGAGCGCAATATTCGGATACCGATATGAACACGTCGAGCGTAGCGAGACGAAAAGCCGCGATGTCCGTTCGCGCGTTCGCAGGAGGTCTTCGCTATCGTGTTTCGGCAATCTTCGGTGATTGTCGGCTAATCGCTGTACTGTCTCTCTCTCTCTCTTTCGTCGTGCCGTATAATCGTGTGTGTGTGTGTCCTCACACTTGCGTTGGCTCTAGGCGCTCGCGATGTATGTAACTTGCCGTGTTACAATATTCCCCCGGGTGGGGAAAAATCTGAGAAGCAGATTTTTGACACACACGTATGGATGTTGAGGACGAGTGCCAGGTACCGAAAGGGGAAAAGAAGAAAAGCAAAAAACTAACAATCGAGCGTTAACCGGATTCTCTCTCTCTCTCTCGTTGATGTCGACTTATATTAAGGTGTGGCGCACGCAATAAATAAATCTGAGGTTCAAAATTATGGCTATTTATTATTTCGCTGATCAAATCGTATTGTAACAATGTAACTTAACAATTATGATTTTTTTTTGATAGTCCAGTAGTACTTTCTTTTGCGTACTCTGGAGTCATTGTGCATATTCATTATAAAAAATAAGGCTTTCTTTTTTTTTTTGAATTATACCGATGGTACTTTCTTTTGCGTACCTCGGTTTGTAGAGACTAAATCTATAACGGTAACATATTTTACACTATGTTTATTACACTACTAAAATTGTGTATCTAATCTTTCTTTTTTTTTTTGATGTGTCGGGTTTTTGGAAAGAGGACAAGCATATCGCAAAAGGAAAGAAAGGAAAAAAAAGGTTGTTACCGTAAGGTTGTTTTGCTATTTGTGTCAACCTCTTGGCAAACTGTCACCACTTCACTTCTTGACGGCGATGTACCTGCTGCTGCAGCTGTTGTTGTCTCTCTCTTTCCTCCCTGCGTGCCTCTTCTTTCAGACGATATTGTACCGGGCCTCGTGGGGAGAATGCTCCGGTCAGCAGTTTTTGCTTCAGCCAGGCCTTGAAGTGTGGGTCTGCGTTGAGTCGATCTTCGTACTCGCGCTGCCTCACGAAAAACCACCGTTTCCGCACGTATCCGAACACGTTTTCGACGTCTTCTGGGACAAGGCCCGCGTCCAGTTGTCGCTGGGCTTCTTGTTCGAACCACTCTGTTGATGGTGTCCTTTCCATGTGTCGGTTTTGCCGGTAATGTTGTTCGTATACGGGCTGGTGTATTTGTTGCGCGCGTGCTGGTTCTGCTGCTGCGGCTGGAGGCGCGCGTGGGCCTGTGGCTGTTGCGACCGAGGTGTCGCGTACGTCTGCTTGTTGTTGTTGTTGTTGCTGCGTACCGTGCTGCTCGTTGGCATCGTCTGAGTTGTCGGTAGAATCGTCGGCGTCGGTTGCTGAAGTGTAACTCGATGTGTCTTGGTCACTTTCACTCTCTTCTTGCACGCGCGATTGCTCGGTTGATGCGTGTGAGTTGTCGGTATCACTGGCCGCTGTAGCTCGCTGGTTGTTTTGATTTCCGGGTAGTCTAATCAACTCGGCTAGTGTGATGCCGCGCTCTACTGCCTCTTCCCACATGTTCTCTTTCGCCCAGTTGATGAGGGTTTCCGACATCCTCTTGGTTATCGGCTTGTGGAAAGCTTCGACGTATTTGTCGTGTAGATATTTCTCAATTGCACACGTCGCGCGTGTGCCGTAGCTTTGGTATTCCTCCCAGAAAGCGTTGAGTGTGGCGTCTGATACCGGTGGCTTTTCTTCTTCCATTTCGTCGTCCCACCAAATGGTACCGTCGTCGGCAGCGTGTGCGTGTTTGTTACCTTCATTGAAGTCTTGTAGCTCAGCGTCAGTTAGGCGTAGTGTAGCCAACTCGAGCTGGAGCTCAGTCTTGCGAGCTTCTGTAAGGTTGAGGCCGCCGGAGCGGTGGTGATATATGAAGCCGCGTCCGATGCTGTGCCTATAGAAGTTTGGTAGTAGTGTCTTCCTCTCCTCGCTCATCTCTGTTGGCTCTGAGACCGAGCTGGTGTTGAGGTCAGACATCCTGTGTGCACTCACTCACTCACCCACGTTTTTCACTGGTAATTCTACCGAACTCGCGCGTGTTTTTGCCGGTGGTTGCGCAAAATGGCGGCGCTCCGTGTTTTGACTGTCGGCGGCGTGCTCGCTCACGTGTGTTTCGTCGTCGACTGGCGGTGCGGCGCTGGCGGGGAGAGTGGAGACGACGTGCGCGCGCAGCTCACTGAGGCATCCTGCGCGTGTGTTGACGTGGTGCAGTTGGCGTGCGTGGTTTTTTGAATTTGCTCGATGTGAGTTGAGTATACGGTACATATTGTTGCGAATTTTAATTGTCGACTTCTTCGGTATAATTTTTGATGTACCGTGCTGCTGCTATTTTTCAGCGATCGTCTTTTTCGGTCGACCTCGCTTGCGTTTTTCTAATGGTTGTGCAGATATCATATCTTCTGGTGGTGCGATTTTCCGTGGGCGGCCGCGCTTTCGTTTCGTCTATACGACAATTTCATTAGTTTCTTGAATTTTCTTGGGACGTCCGCGGGGTCGTTTATTGATAGGCGGTGTGGGCAGTGGCAAATTTTCTTTCTTCTCTCTTGAGTTTTCGATGTACGGTTTGAGATAACGGGTGTGCCAAGAGCTTTTGAGTACTTTGTTATTTTCGTCTTTTAACGTATATATATTATTTCCTACTTTAGCTGTTATCGTGTATGGACCGATGTATGGTTTTAATAACTTTGCTGAAATTTGTTTCGCGCCGGACGATAACTGCATGTTTTCGTGGAGTACTTTGTCTCCGATTTTAAATGTGTCTATACGTTTATTTCTATTGTGGTAAGTACTCTGCCGTTTGCTCTCGTTTTTACTATTTTGTGCAGCTTGCACGTGTGCGGTTTTTAAATTGTGCATATGGTTGTTCCATGTTTCGGTATCATTTTGTATTGTGTGTATTTGTGTGTCGTTACTTTCGGCGGAGTCTTGTAATTTATGTATTGAGTTAGATAGCATTTCCACTTCTCTTCGCCAAAGAGTAGGTGGTTGTAATTCGCGTCCGTATATAAGATACGCTGGTGTGTACTCTGTCGTGGCGTTTTTACTGGAGTTATATGCAAATTGGAATTGTGGTAAATACTTATTCCAATTTGTGTGTGTGTGTTCGAGGTATGCTCGTATCATTGTTTTTAACGTTCGATTTGCTCTCTCGGTCGGGTTGCCTTGCGGTGAATATACGGTTGTCGCTTCGTGTAAAATTCCGCATTTCTTTAAGTACTCTTGTACTGGTGCGCCTATATATTCTTTACCGTTGTCGCTTAATAAGGTATTCATGCAACCGTGCTGTAGAATTTGACTTTCGATAGCTTCTCTTACGGATTCCGATGATTTGTCTTTTAACGGTTTGCATACAATGAAGCGTGATAGTAAATCTATAAAAACTATTAGAAATGTGAATCCTTCTACTGTGCAAGGGAGTGGGCCTAGTAAGTCGGTAGCAACTGTTTGCCATGGTCTGTCAATGTTTCGGGATTTCATAAAGCCAATTTTTCCGCGCTGGTCTGGCTTGTTTCGTTGACAAATGTCGCATTTTCGAATGTAATCGCGTGTATCGCGGTACATGCCAGGCCATGCATAGTTTTGTGTCATGCGCGCATATATTTTGTCTGTACCGAGATGTCCAGCTTGTGGCTCGTCGTGAGATTCTCGCAAGATTTGTGTTCGATGTTCTACCGGTACCACTAATTTCCAAGGGTTTTTGTCATCGTCTTTGTCGTTATTATTTTTGTATATATATAGATTGCCGTTAATTAATTTGTAGTCTCGGTATAATTTCGGATGTTTTATTACATCGCGTACTCGCTTTATGTACCATTTGTCTGTTGTTTTCTTCGCGATTTCTATTGCGCTGCATGCATTTATTTCAGCTTCTGCCTCACATCCCTCGTAAATTCGACTTAATGCATCCGGTACCACCATCTTTACACCCGCGCGATGTATTATTTTGAAGTCG